CCTATTATACACCATTACGTACCTCTCATAGGGACCCTTTGCTGGACATCATGTACATTAGGATTTATGTCCACCATGCGAATGGTAAGGGTGGGCCGTGTGCTAGTTTCTCGCCGCAACTCTCTGAAGGGGCATTCCCGGGATGCACGCTGCAAATCCCACAGGCTCTATTGGGGCGCGTCGGCCAAGCGAGTGCCGCGCGCCGGAAACAGCTTGAAACTGTGTTGCCCACTGAACTGCGGTGGAGCCACAAATGTGCGCGGGTTTTTTTGTCGGTGTCACCTGGCTTGAGAGATTCTCTAAATCTCTCTAAAAGCCACATGCACCGATGGGTTCTGACAATGACAGTAGTTGTCTCCTCCAAGTCCATGGAAGCTTTAACCATGTTCGTCCCATTTAAAGTAGTTTCCCATGGTTGCCTCAATTTCTGTCATTCGGCAACTCAGCTCAGTGTTTAGCCCCAAGTCTTCCCAGAGTTCCTTTGAACCCGTTGCCTATTTGTGACCATACTCCACGAAATGTGACACAATGGGAATACGATTGATGTACCCGATCAGCTCGTGTTCAAAACCTCGCTCTTGGCTGTAGCGCAAGGAGCAACAGAGCGACAATCTTCCCATGGCTCCGGCTCTGAACTTCTCTTCAAGATCAGCGGCCCGCAGATTTGGAGATTGGACAATGCATCATTTCGTCCTGCCGAAACCGCGACCGGAGTCATCTCACTGCTCGAGCTGGGGTCTTGTCGGACGCAAAACGGGTCTACTGGCACTATAAGGGCCTAAACAACTAAACAGCTAGAATGTCATGTCGGGGCACTTCAAACCAAATCAACTCATGACAGCATTTTTGACTGAAATGATGAAGCCCTTATCCCCTGTGCCTAGAAGGAACATGCGACAAGAAATACCGCATGCGAAATATGAGTTGTGCGGGAACGACCATGGGTCAGACCCCGGACTTATCTGGACCTCACCGATGCTGCTTTCCAGAAAACCTTCGGCTGGCAATTAGAAAGGGACTGTGGGTACCGTTAGGCACCAAAGAAGAGCGGGGTAAGAGCAAGGCAGCAAGAGGATGTGGCAAAATTGTGACCCATCCTCCCAAACCAACAGTGGACAGTATAGAATTATGACTGTTGCTACACGGATTGCCCGTGGGTTGGGCCAAGCCCTTGTTTAAACATGTTGAACAACCACTGTTGATTGAGCAGCCTCCTTTCTGTTCTTTTCAGGGACCAGGGCCAATGCCGAGTTATCAATCTGTGCAACCAAACCTGCCCTTCATGGAAAGAGCACAGCTTTGCGGGCCCAGGCATCCAAGCACAGGTCATGCCGAAAGCTTGGCGTAGGTGTCTAAGTGCACGCAAGAAGCTTAGCATGCGTGACTCTGGAACGGCTGCCCACCTGGGGCTGGGTGCAGCTCGTTCGTAAAATCCCGACGGCTTGCCCATTGCCAGCTGAAACATGACACCCGCTGGGCAAGAGGCCAATGTAGCATTCACGCCGTAAGCCGGCGTGATCCAAAATTGCGCAGCTCGTTGGCAAACCGGGTCTAAAAGCCCAAAGAAGGGTGCCTTGAAAAACGGCACACCCAAACACCAATCAAAACACCACGTCAAGGATGCCACACTGTCTCTTTCACGCGAAACGCGACAGCAAATATGAAAACGCAACATTCACTTGGTTGGTGCAAGTAGCATATAAAAACTCTTGCCCCATACCCAAGCTTGCCAACTGCGCGAGTGAAAGGCCACTGCCTGGCCAAAATGCTCCGGATCCCAAATGGTCTCGGCCCTCGGCAGGCCTTTTTCGGCTGCCAGAAGATGGGTGCCCCGGGGAGTCCACGTGTCGGGCAAAGCCGTTGCGCGATGCCCAATGCAGCTTTCTCCTCCCTAAAAAATCGAAGCCGGCTGCTCGGCCCAGCCAGAAAATCAAAGGTTCTCAGCTTGACGTGAACCAAAGACGAGCCGCACATAAGATCTACACGTGAACGACTCCCAGGGAACACATCCGTGCCCTGTGCATTTAAACATCTACGTAGTGATCTGCGCCCTGGCTAGCCATGTCAGCACCCCAAATCCGTCGACTTCCGGTTTCAACATGGGCAAACGGTTTACGCAGGTTTCTCTTAAGATAAGGGAACCTCAAAATGGGTAGTGTTCCCTTTGGAGTTTGTTTAAAGCCAACCAAAAAGTATACCGGGCAACTCAAATGAAGGACGCAACCAAAAAGCCCTCACTGCGAGTCGCAGCAGGAAGTAGAACTCAACCGGGTTGTCATTATTGGTCAAAACGTCATTACCCTCAATCCATTGTGCAATCAGCCACCGCACACCCAAACAAGGCGCAACTCTGCAGAAGCAATCGCAAGTAGATATCACCTTGTGCTTTTGATGGAAACTGAATGACTTGAAAACATCTTTCGGTGAAACAAACCTCAAACTAGCAAATAATCTTGTGAACATGTCTAAGTGGCTTTTCCTTGACTCACGGCTCCCTATG